CCTTCAGCGCCGGGTTGCAAATGAGAAAGCATATCCAGACTATTCCACTTAGCCTCACTTCAAGCACGTGCGTGCTAAACCTGTGAGAACTTGCTGTAGGCATCACACCCACACCCACGCATTTCTGGTTACGATACTGTGCAAGTCAACGCCGTGTTGAGCGTCTTCTACTCGCTGGTATAACTACCGTTTTACCCTGTTAGCCGACCATAGTGATGAGATGAAATTGGAGAACAAATAGAGGCACGCAAGGTAGTTTGTTAGTCATAAACGTGTGCCATGCTGCGAAGTACCTTCTTCCTTGTCATCGTTGCCTACTGCTCAGGTGCGTATTCATCCATTCATCTCGTTTTCTTTTCTTACTGAATTTGCCACTGTACGCTATAACACAATGCACGCAATGATGATAAGTTTGGCAAGAAGAAACAGGCAGTTTTTATCACTAATCACACCAAAAGAGTTGTCACTTGTGATCTCACAAATTACGTAGGGATTTGTATAAATACAATAGACAGAAATTTAATACATCTTTACATCTGCGGAACAGGAGCTGACCCAGTGCTATGGGGTTCGCGGATTTGGGGGAACACCAGCGGGACCATCACCACCTATGCATTTCCGTCATCCCAAAGAAGCTGTATGCGTGACGTTTCTGTATGAACAGATATTCTTCGACAAATTGATAAACACTTTCGTGTGTACTGCATCAGCACCAGATTTCACATCATATACGGCAGCTCTTTTGGATTGGCAAGGCTAATGCAAGGCATTAAATACATTATCTCTCTGTCGATTAGATAACTTGTTCATGCATAAAAGGCTTTAGTGAGCGTCTTAACTTATTTCAGTCGGTATTTGTGGTGATTGATGGCTTGCTGTCTCTAATCAAAATCGAAAATGGCACGTGTTATCTTGGCGATGGAGTCTGGGGTTCCCCTTGCCAAAGGTATGAAGGTAAGCAAAACGTTATAACTCGGCTCCCATCATTTATTCATTCTTTTTTCATATTATAATACTCTTTGCTTGGGACTATTTAAAGGGCATTAAAATTTTGTTCGACACATGAAGAAACTGAACTACTGCACTTTGATTCTGTGTAATAGCAGCAATAGACAGTGCACAACATCCGTGTTCTAAGAAACCCAGTCCTTTGATTAGTATGGGAGATCAGTGTATGTAATTGTTGAAAGTTCCAACATCACTTTGAAAGACGTATCCCATCAGGAGGCATTACAAGTCTGGGTTGGAAATTCACCCATTTCTACAGCATTCTTTGTGCCGAATCGTACTATTCAGACGTCAAAGGAAGGTAAGTTGATTGAGCTGAAGAAGTATGTAAGGAACTTTTGAAAGATAATTACATGTTTAAAACAAGCCAATTGTAAATGCATTCTTTAGCAGGCAGCATTTCTAGTGGTTATTGTGGTCTGTGTGTTGCTTGAGCCCTTCATTTACTCGACAGTTGAGAGAAAGTAGAGGTGGAAAGCGTAACCACCAAGTGCTTCGCTTGCAGATGAATTCGACTGGAAGACATCGTTCCAGCTTTCTCGATTTGGGAAAGGGCAATCAAATGTCGAAGTCACATTAGCTGTTCGAGGTGCAAAGAGCCGGGCCTTGGTACGTGGTCCCTTTCAGACTTGCTGGCAACATAGTGCCTTCAATTTCTTACAATGGTCACGTTAACACGCTCATCAATTGCTCATGATTTTGTGCTCACGATTACCTCCATTCTTGCTCATTGCAATATAGTCATCCCTTCAGCAGAACGGCCAATTTGTGTGCGGTTGGAGGGGGACAACACTTGTTCTGTCTAAATCTTCTGTCTGCCGTGGGTTTGTTGCACTTTCAATCAAGCCATTCGCTGTGCTTATTAATGCAACTGATGTGCCATTTCCACTCTCTTCCACTCATTCAAGGTAATACGTGGAAAGATGAGAAATCCAATCTAAGAGCATTTGTCCTGAACATTACTCAAAATAACATCACTTCTATTGGGTGGTATACCTCGACTAGAAGAATGACAGTTAATATTGACTGGACGCAAGTTGGTGAGTGAAAATTCCTACTGATTCGCGGGACCACCATCTTTCCCTGCAATAAAGCATCTTGGCTAATAACACTTCACAGTGAGGTAGTCCCGAGGAAGCCACTTATGCACCGGACCTAAGCAACATACAGTTCATTCGAAGTAAATGAACCTCTTGCATTGCTTTAGGTGTATCGCCAGAAATTGTGGAATGCAA